GAATGGGATTCTATGGTTCTGCTCTTGCTCGAATGTAAACTTTATCGATGGATGAAAGGAGTTTAACCTATTTAGCATAACCTTTTCATCAGCAGGGTTTCGTTATTAACTCTATCATAGGCAGTCAGTTAAATAAATATTATAAACGAAATAATTTATAATAATTTACGTAGAAAATGTCCACGGAGATTGTTCTATATTTCGATCAAAATAACTTAAAATTCCAACTCATCGTAGATCATACGATTCGTTGACATCCAGGCTATTCGCCTGACGTCACAAAAAGCTTATTAAGTATATACGTTGTCGTTATTTTAAGGAAAGATTTTCCTTTTTTCTCTCGAAACTACCGTTTTCTAAAGACCATCGTTTGGTACTTTTGAAAGCACTGCTGGTACGGTTTCATCACCAAAGGAGTAATCTTTTTCAGTAAAAAAAATTTCGATTTACGTGTAACTTGACGTGCTCTATCTGATGAGCATAGTAAGATTTGCCGCGCTGAAACTTTTGTACAAAGTGGACGAACCTGTGTTGAAGTACTTAGCACTACTGATTGGGTAGTTCTTCAAAATCATTGTATCGGAGCCTTCTCAAACTCTAAAGTGCCGGGAAAATATTCTGTTTATACACAATCGATATAGCTCTGTCAAACGTACGACTCCGATTTTGTTTATTTGAAACTTTTTATTATCGTGTGTTTTTTCTCAAACGGTACAATGGTCATGCAATTCACTCATATACATGTTGTAGCCAAACTGAATTCAATCATTATGTCGTATTCAGGTCTATTAGATGTCCCAAGAGTAGACAGTGGAACACAACTGGATCCTGTTGCACTAGGAAATAATGGTTCGATCATAGTTTCTGTTGTATTAGCAGACCATTGTATAGCTTCTTCGGCTAATACTACTGAAGTTAACGATTTGGCTGCTGTTTCTGATGCAGTAGTATCCGAAACTGCGCTATCTGCTTCTGTTGGTGCGTCCACTATTTCTATATTTGGTAATCAAGAAAGATTATTTTATGATAAAATTGATTAACATATTAATAATTTAAATAAAAAATTTCAACAAAAAGCTGTTATTAAAAAAGACATTATTTGGGGTGAATGGTTCATTTGTGTTTTGGAGTCGAAAGAATTTCATCTTGCGAGAGATATTAGATGTTAAAATAGTATGTTGTGTGAAATCCGAATAACTGATTTCTAAGTATGAATCGTTTTATAATATTGTCAAGGAAAGTCATACAACAATTTCTTACTATGTATAGTATTGTTTACCATGCCAGCATCGAAAAGCAAAAACAAAGTAAAAACACCCGTTGTAGGTAAGCTGATACTATCTCTTGGTGTCCTAACTAGTCTTCAGATCGATTTGATCGCTATGCATACTCGCTCTGGTTGTATTTCTAGAGACATTGTATATCAATGGATATTACATTGCAAAGATCATTACTCAAAATATCCATGAGCTTATATGTTGGTCGATAATTCAGCTGGTGGTGTTGCAAAAAAACTGTGTGAATTACTTTTTACATTTGGTCCACCAAAACTATTACATTCGGATAACGTTGCCAAATTCGTCGCCGATGTTATCACTGCTTTAAAATTGCCAGGATTTGGTGGAAAGCGGTACTGATGTGCTTCGTGGTTTTTTAGGTAAATGGATGTCATCAACGAATTCGGAGCGTTGGTCAGATCGTCTGCTGCTTGTTGTGTATGGAATAATTACACATGTGTGATGTGGTATTAAATGTACGCCGTATGAGACAATGTCTGAGCAGAAACCTAGTTTAGATTCAGATTTTTGGCGAATTATTAAAGATCAAAATATTGAAGATGAAGAAATGTTACCAGTGCGGGTCGAAGAAAAACAAGAATCAGGCGAATCAACCAATGACAATGCACTTATTGATGAAGCATTAGCAGCAGCAAATTCTGTTTTACGTAATGAAGGAGATGATGAATTCCAAAATGACGACTTCTTTCCAATAAATAATCAATCTGCTCCTTCAACACCAGTTCGTCCGTTGAATAATCCAGCCCATAATTGAAAGTCAACAGTCTTTACATTTCGTCATGAAAATGTTAGACAACAAGCCACAAATAACATTCTAATGTCCATCGGATTTAAAACTAAATGAAGTAAGTTCCCTTGGTGAAATAACAGTAATTGAAGCTACAAAATTTTTGGTTCGTGCTGCTGTCCGGTGCAAAGACTAAATGTGGGACGAAACATTGTCCATGTAGAAAAGTAGTAGTGGCATGCTCAACAAAATGTCATGTTAGACAGTGTGGATGTCTGAATTCAACTTAATTAAAATTTTGTATGCTTCCTTTCTTACTTTTAGGAAATCTCGGCGGCGAATTTTGTACCATTATCCGAATGTAATAGTTTTAGTGTCCCAAATGTAAAACATAATTCACAGTTTTTTTGCAACACTATCAGCTGATTTATCGACCAACGTGTAAGCTCATGGATATTTTGAGTAATGATCTTTGCAATGTAATATCCATTGATATACAATATCTCTAGAAATATAATCAGAGCGAGTATGCATAGCGATCAAATCGATCTGAAGACTAGTTAGAACACCAAGAGATAGTATCAGCTTACTTACAACGGGTGTTTTTACATAGGGTGGAAATGCTGCAATTGCTGCAACTTCATAGTTGGAAAAGAAATTGAAATTGCTGCAACGATCGAATAATACGAACTCAAGTGTCTGTAGTATTTATAGTATTTTGGTTTTTTATGGTATTTTAGGTTTTTATATTATGTATGGTGTTTTAGGCATTTACGGTTCTGATGTTTTTGCAGCGGGTGGATTCTAGAAGTAAAAGGATCTGTATTTCTGACGAGAGCAGTAGTAAAAGAATTGGGCAGTGGGTAATGAAAGTGAGTAGAAAAACAATATTCGTCGCATTAATAATATATGAGGCAGGGATTTATACATTGGAATGGAAGCAAACTATGTTTAAACGCTCTTTATGCACGTGTTTCTTACGTAATGAAACGATTTTTCATAGAAGGTTTAGAAAAATTTAAAGATTGATGATTGACAATGCTGCTATTCTGTGCTGCGGCGAGGGTCAAGCTAAGTTTGAGATGTACAAATCAAGTCGACATTTCGCACAATGGACTGAGTTATCTGAACTTGATTAGTAAAGTATTGTTTACGCGGCAATATTCACATCAATTGAGTTACATCAGTAGGATTAATAGTAAAAATCGGCTTTCGATTTTAAAAACCTTATCACACCGAAAGTTGAAGCTGTAAACGGTTTAAAAAATACAGAATCTGCAATATAGGCTGAAGTGCCTGTGATCAAAGTCTGGGATTGATCAGATCGTTCTTTCGAGGATTCGTAATGTGATTGGATTGGAGCCGCTCGTAGTTAAGTATTTTTTAGTAGCTACAAGTGTCATTATAAAACGTACTCTTTTGGTAATACTCACGTCTCGGCTAAAATCTATCCGAGGATTAAGATGAAAACGCTTTAGTGTAACTGACTATGGATAAAAAGAAATTGTCAAGGTACTCGAAAGGACGGAAAAGGTTGCGAAACTAAAAAAATGACTCTTTTTAAAACCTGCGGAAAAAGCTGAAGGAAAAGGATGTGAAATGCTGAAAGTAATCATACTTTGTAGTCCATACTTTTCTCCATGGTACTGATTTCAACTCGAAATCGAAATTTTTTTCAAAGAATGACAACACTACAACTTATTGCACTGATCGAAAACTACAAAATTCTTCTCACTCTCACTTTTTAGCAGAGCTACCAACAGAAAGTGGATTTCTTTGCAACGATAGATAGCTAAAAATGTCTACAAGCCTAAAGTAGACGAATAGATGCACACTGTTGCTGTTTCTTGTTATCCGCTAACAGCTTTGGCACCAGCGTCGCCCAGCGAGGTTGTATAGAAGTGAAAAGAGGTCCTTTTTGAACATCCAACTTAGAATTGCACGTCAAAAATTAGCCAAGCAAAGTGAAACTAACGGACATTATCGCTGACGATCGAGCGCTACGCTGTAATTAGTTTACTTCTCATTGGTGTACCTACTTAGTCCGTACTAAAACTATGTCGAAAATATGGATTAATATTTTGTCCAATTCGATTTCAAGAAACTGAGTACATAGCCTAAATGAATCTAAAACTGTGAAATAAAAATAAGTAAAATTGTGAAATTTAGTTATGTATATTATCCGCCTTTCGATACTAACGGTTCTGGCATTTCCTTTTCTTATTTATGTCTTTGAATCATTTGTTTCACTGGGTTTCTCTCGTCACCGGCTTCTACGCCTTCCGGTGTGTGTAGAGCGTTAAGACAGCAAGGCCCCGATCCTTCATTTTTGTATCTCTGCATTCAACCTAAATAAAATAAAAAAATCTGCATGATAACGACAATATAGATATGCATGACATTGCCGATATAATCTGGACGATGGCTCGTAAAATATCATTTGAAGTCTAAGATTTACCATAAAAACCATATAAACCATGAATAACATAAATACCTAAAATACCATAAAGAGTTTCTGCCTGGAAAAATGTGGATTCAGTGTCATTCTTCTCAACATTCCATTGTTGTCCGAAGAAGAAATTGAAAAAACCACTTTAGGTAACATAGTATAAAACAATCCTCCTATTCAACAAAATCTGACATACCACATGACTATTTTAGGAGTGTCCCGGTTGAAGCGTGCAAGATCGTATGCTGTTCTTCGACAAAATTAACGGCGCCCCCCTCTCAGAAATTATCTCCGACACCGTACATCCGATCTTGACGAAATCTTCCATAAATGTTAGGTTTAATGAATTACGCAAATAAAAAATTTTTTTCTTTCCAAGTCTTACCGTTTAGAAGTTTTCCAGAGATCAAGGTCCAAAAAGGACCCTGAAGTATTTTCCAAGATTTTCTAATATACTTACTTCAAGCTGGAAAGTCCGGATTTGTTTTGCTTTAAGCTAGATACCTAACCACATGGACTGAAGGGCGTCGAGTTTTCAAGAAAGCCTTTGTTGGTTTTTCAGGCAACCAACAATTCCAAATCCTTCCGAGTTTTATAAACATCCTTAATTTGACAAAAGCTAAGACGTCAAAAATCGCCGCCAGTCAGTCCATGTAGTTTCTTTTCCTCTTTTAAACAAAAAAAGAATAAACTCTCTGCGGCAAACCGCTATTAAAAATCTTGAGAAATGCTTCAGGTGTAACTCTTTTATAGAGAAAACGCTGTATGAAATAGTCAGTTTTAGGACTTCTAGGAAAATGCCTGTCAGTTTTTGATGCAAGATCAAACAGAGTCGTGCGAGATCTCATTTTGATTAGAAAAGTTTGCTCTACAAATCTGTTCCTTCAGAAAAATTTCAGTTGCATAATATTTTTTTATCCAGGAAAATACTATTATTTGAAGATGCGGTTTTTCGAGCCTCGTAGATCGAGTCTCGGTTGATTTTGTTATACTAGGTACTGGTAGCATTCAGGTTTGAGATGTTGTACACAATTTGTTTTGTTTTTTGTCTTCCAGTTTCACCAGCTGCATTTGTATTACTTGATGACGAACATATACTTCTTCTTGTTTTAAACGATTAATAAAATGCCATATATTTGGATGGTGTTTATTTACACGAATATTGAACCTGTTATGCCAACCTAGAGAACAGAGAAAGAATGTTTATGATAAGCGTCAGAAAAGTTAGCAGTAGATTCGGGCTTTTTCAGTAGTTTTGCTGAAAGAGTTGTGTTAGTCAAGAAAGCAATTGTGGAAAAGGACCTTTGCAATTATTATTTGTTCTAAATTGAAGATCAGGTAAATGCTAAAGTTGAAGTGGTATTTCTGTCATCCAAAAATTTACAAATTAATTAAATAATAGGCGAATTATCTTTTAAATCTTCCAATAAACATACAATTCTTAGAGTTATAAGCAGTTGTTGAACCGAATTGCTGTATATTATGATAGGTAGCTCGTATAAAATGGAAATAACAGCTGGTCGAAAATAAATGTCATGTTTGTAGAAACTAAAACAAGGAGATTAAAAGAATTACAGTTTTCAGGTGATAAAAAAATCCTGCATTTCTACTACTTTTAGGCACTTGAATATAACTCCTACTACATCAACAACGGCTTTGATTAAAGCTTTTCGACATCACTTCTTACTGCATTTGGATTAAATGTTGTTTCTAAACGAATAGATGATGTTTCCATTCACAAAATAATTGTCTACAAGTACAAGCTTTTCATCGCAGGCGAAACGAAGATCAAGTCTCCACGATGTTTCATTACCGTGTTGTATTAAAAACAAAAGTAATTCGGAACTTCTGCATCACCCGTTAGGGCCACAATTGAATGAGACATAGCTTTTCTATAGTTGAATATTTTGTTCACTTCTGTTTGAAATGAAAGTTCGTGGAAGGCATGAAACAAGATAGAGATAAAGAATGTTCTTTCCGTTTTCTCGCATAGGAAGATGTATGTCGCATGAAGAATTCTGTATGCATTAGAAAATTGTCTCCACATTATGACTGGTGACATAATAAGAAACACTTTTTCTTTGGTGTTTATATTATATGTGATATTTTCATCGTTTTCTTTTCTCTTCCTTGTTTAGTAATGCATTACTCAGAAGCCACTGACAGAATTCTGCATGCGTTTTTGATTCAATTTTTGATTCAAGAGTCAATTGCAAACGCTGAAGCAGATATAGGCTCACTCAGCTCGGCGAGCTCTATCCAACCATGTATGATAGATTCCAACAAATTGCACGCGCTTTTTGGAATGGCCGACACTACTATTTAAAGGTGGTAATACTGAGACTTTTCTTTCTCCGTAGATATGTTACACCAAGCTTTTAATTTAAAATGTCGAAAACCAAGGATCTCTAGTCCTTTTCGTTCGCGAATTATTCGACAAATAGCCACATACACCCTATTTTTCAAATGGATAGTAATAGTATGCAATAACATCTTTTTCAAAGTCTCCAAAAATACTGTAGCGAGTTTGCGTTTGCCAGGGTCAAAACTCATATTCTTCTACTGACAGAGAGGACAAGAAGGATAAGGGGACAAGCAGGATAAAAAGTACAAATGGGTAGTAAGAACTGTAAGGTAATACGGACAAAAAACTTTATACACTTCATTAAACATGATTATGACTGAAACTACTTTTCGAATTCCTCTTGCCAACACGCACCCACAAATAGCTCGGCACCTGTGCCGGTTCTCTAAAAATGACTAAATTTGGATGGAAGGAGTTGTGTCCGTTTTGTCCTTTTTGTTCTCTTTATCTTGTTCTCTTGTAGCCTACAACGCTGTATTCTCATCCTCAGGTTGCCGCAACTGTGCACTTACAGGAGAAGTTTCGATTTACAGCAAAGGCAACCTTCGCATAATGTGCAAAAAAACAAATATATCTGAGGGTGCGGGGGTAAACCTCTCCCAATAATAGAAGGCCATCCCCTATTAGAAGACCACTGCCGGTTATATGACTTGAAAGCCAAACAGAAGACCACTGGTCTTCTATTATGTCCGCGAAAGAAGTCGGAAAATGCCCTATATCTATCTATAGAGATGGACTTCAACTACGTGAGGGTTACCGGTGGCCTACAAGCAGGCGAAAAAATTTGACCGCAAGAGAAGACCACCCTTTAGAACTCGACTTGCGGAGACAAAATTGAAGACCAAGTGGTCTTCTGTTATGGCGGGAGGGGGGCGGGGTATTCATCATTCTATCATTCCACTCTCGCTAACAATGTTCTTCAAGGTATGTCAAAGACCGAACATAATAATGACCGTAGAAGAAGTATGACAACAAGTATGAAAAGCAGTTCAAGTTAACATATGAAATGGTACCTCTTGCAGACCCAAATGCTTTTCAAAAGCTAATTGTTTAGTCAAAAGATAGTTTATTAATTGATCGCTCTAGTTCTTCTTTCCTACAATATTCTAACTCTATGATATTCTATCTACCGTATTAAAATATTTAAAGTGCGAATATAGTCATATCGGTTACATGTGTGATACTTTTATTGACACTGGGATCTAAAGACAAATCAGACAAAAAAACCAGTTTGATGCATTCAGTGAGACTATTAATGTTATTCTTTATTTCAAAAACAAGTTCATGAAAGCAACAATGAATTTGTTTACATTCTTAATGATACTTTCAGAAATTTTGAATTCATACTGTAAACTATCCGGTTCGCTATTGACCCAAACACGTCGCAGTTTGAAATGTGATACTCGTCCTGAACAACAAGATTATAGAATATATAAAGTTGACAATGATGGGACACGGTTAGGCGATGTGATGCCGTATTATGATTTAGAATCTGATATCTTTTACATCTATTATCTCAAAGACATTTGGATAGATTCAACGAATCAACGTCATCCTTGGCACGGTTTCAAAACAAATAATTTTTTGACGTACCAGCAACTTGATGAAATTATCAGCTGTAGTGCATACGCATGTGATCAAGATTTTGCTGTCGGAAGTGGATCGATATTGAAACGCGGTCAAGTCTATTATGCATTTTACACCGGACACAATCCAAATTATCCTTCATCTTGTGTGAAAACAAAAGAAGGTATTATGCTAGCAACATCGAATGTTCCCAATCAAAAATTTATCAAACAATTTAATTTTACAACCATTTTTGCACCCATACACCAAGACTTTGATGGCCAAGATAATTTTCGAGATCCATTTGTATTTGACGATAATGGAAAGTATTATATGTTAGTAGCAGCGCGTAAAAATGTTAACGGCATTTGGCGAGGTGTTATTATCAAATATATATCGACAAATTTGCTAAACTGGTCGTATGATGGAATACTCTTCGATGGTGGAGAAATGATTCATTTTATGATGGAAACGCCTGAAATATTCAAAATAGGACAATACTATTATCTAATTTATTCAGATATTGATTCAAAATACCTCTATTATAGAAAAAGTACTTCGATCGATAATATATGGCATTCTCCTACAAGTAATAACCGTTTTGAAGGTATAGGTTTATATGCGGCAAAAACAACCGCAGACTCTGGCGGTAATCGATATATTATTGGTTGGACAAATGCTCTTAAAGGAAATAATGATGATGGGAAGGCATTGTGGGGAGGCAATATGGTTGTGCATGCGCTTTCTCAAAACAGCAACGCCGATCTAACTGTTTCATTGCCCAACTCCATTCGATCTTATATGGAGCAAAAGCATTTTCCGTTAGTAAAACACAGTCAGTGGGGAACCGTACTATGTACAACGTGTGATACTCACTCGTATAATTTAGTCAGCACTTCAGTTATGGATATTTCGAATGTTATTTTTGAACCGGTTAATTTGGATCGTTACAAAATCAGTGCAACTGTTTCTTACTCACATTCTGCAAAAGACTTCGGTTTTATGGTAGGAGCTTGTGATGGTTACAATGATTTTTATAGTTTGAGATTTATTCCTAGCCAAAATAGACTTAGCTTCGATAAAGTAAAGCGTGCTAACTTAGAAGCATTTGTTGATGCAATCAATGATGTTCCGATTCACCTTTCTCCGGATACCTATTATTCAATTGATATTGTGATAGAATATTCGATGGTTATTGTTTACATAAATACTGTGGGTGTTGCGCTTAGTAATAGAATATATAAAATGACCAATACAAATTGGGGAGTTTTCGTTGATAATAGCAACGCAACCTTTCATAACATTGTTGTCCATCATCCCAAAGATTAATGCAGGAAAATACTCAAATTAAGGTTATGGGGATACTCTGGGTACTTATTCATACTCTTTGATTGAATTATTCCTATGATGTGTAACAAATTTACTCGATTGCAAGATTATGTCTCACACTAGAAAATCTGAATTTTTTCTACAAAAATTAAAATATTACAAAATTTTACTTCTGCGGGTGAAATTAAATGCTAATTTATACTCTCTTAGAACGGGCTAAGCGTTGTTTTGAAACATATGGTCATGAAACTAGAACACTCGTAAGTTAAATCAAAAATAAATTATCCTCATCAAGGTATAGCAAGAACATGGAACTCTAGTGATCATTTGAAAAGTGATCCTTATATTCCCCCACGTATGTATTCTAGCGGAAAGGGTAAGATGATCACAAATAAGTTATTATCGCAGTAAATTGAATACGGCAATTATTTTTGAAGTAGTCAAGCATTTCTGCCTTTTTCTTTCTGTATTTAGGATAACGAATAAAAATATTCACAGTTATAAAATTATGACCTAAGACTTGAATAACATTATTGCTAGTAAAGCAACAGAGCAAATCTTTCTTTCTGCACATAAGAAAAGTTAAATAACCAACAATGAGATAGGCAACAAAGCAAAAATACAAAGAAACCCAAAGCAGTGGAAAGAGTCGTCGTTTCAGTGGGTTAAAATAGAAAAAAGTGAGGTCAATGGTCTATCCGTCAAGATATGTCCTTCAGTACAGCAAACTTGGTCAAACATTCATATAAACCTAATGAACAAGAGAATAGCCTTATTCTCTTACAAGATTTTACTTATTCAAGAGTCTGACGGATTTGGTTTTTAGAAGTATGCGTTTCACTGTGATAAAGCTCATTTTTAAGTGGTTGATAGACTTCATCTAAGTTATCACTCAACATCCCTACAGTGCTATTTAAATCATAGCACCTTACGTGCAACATCACATCGTCCTTGAAGAATTTGCAAGTCAAGTTTTGTACTGTCACCATTCCATGAAGTCAAAAACGAGTATTTCTTCATCTTATTCAGGGATCCCAAATCTCTGATTTTGGCGGAAAATTTCCGATTTTTGAACTTCTTTCTGTCTCGTTGCTGATCTTCAGATTTCTGGATTTTTTGTCTGATTTGATGTGGATTTGAACTGACGTTTGGCCCATAGCACATGTATTGTATCACATTCATATCGAGTGTGACAGATGTAGATACAAATAGTCATGTGGTAGTGTGCCGGATGTACATACACAGAATCACTAATGAGTGTCATTGACATTGGTGCACAGAGGTGCTTGCGTTCGAGCTTTATGTGGAATCAGGGAAGTGTAACACCCATGCTGGCTGCGACCGCGGAACGAATGGACGCGTGAGCATTGTCTGTAATTCAGAAATTTTTTTAGACCCCTAGGGTTCTTCGGGTACTCTCGAGAAACCTAATATAGATTGAAGGTACTTTACGAAGTTGAAACATCATGTCAGAGAATTAATCATAACGCATGGTTGATAGTCTCTAGCGAACACCGACCGAAGGGAGGTGTAAGCGTTGTTTTGACGAAGAAGGCCAAACTTTGTCCCCACTTGGATTTCTTTATCAAGGGTAAGAAGACTGATAGATTTGGTAATATTACGTCCATTTCGAACATCTGTACGACAGATAAAACTAAATCAAATTACAGAGTCTCGATGAACTATAACAATTCTGCTAAGTGTTTCTCACCGGTGAAAAGCTAAAGTAAGTGGTTCTGTAAACTAAGATGGCAAATATGGACGTTCTCATCGCGAAAAATATGAAATATCAGGTAATTAGAATTAGCACGTAAGTGATTGCAATAATTTACTCCATGATTGTGGTTTAGGCAAGGCTCCGATATACCTACTTAAGTAAGTCTCTTAGCAAAAAAATAATATTATTAATTTTCTCTATTTGGTAAAAAGTGCAAACTAATGCCATAGACGTAATGGGTAACGGCAACCGACTATACAGGCTAATTATGAGCAATTTTTTAGGATTTCTTATCGCATCTTTTAGAATCTACAAATGACACCAAATCGTTCAGTTGCTTCTGAATCGTTCCGATCTAAAAGTGTATTGTAGGTCTTTATGCGTATTAGTATGTTCGCGGAGATGATAAAACAGGGCGCTGCTGAGATATTCACCTTATTTATTCTTCTTTCTTCTTTCTTTTATATTTATTGACAACAAACAGAAAGTAATAATAAAAGATGTTACATTGTGTCAAAGGAGGTACATCAAAAAGCATGAGGGCTTGTAACAACAACAACAAAAGAGTTGTAGTAGACATAC